TCTTATTTTGTTTCGTCTACGTCCTCCTCTCTCTCTCTTCTCTCTCTCTCTCTCTCTCTCTTTCACTCTGTCTCAAGTGCACTGTTCCTTCATGTTGTATTGGTACTTTGGTAGTTCTCCCTTCTCCCTTCCTATAGTATATTTCCCCTTCATATTATTACAAGTTATTCAACTCCTTTCGTCAGTTGTAAATCCAAATGTCTTGAAGTGCAACTTAGGTTGGAAAATATAGGAATCATCCAGGCCGCTTTTGTGTTTGGGCACCTGCCTAGGCGGCTTAGACCCTTGACCGCCTAGACGATCGCATCTGCTTTCTTGAACATTGGGTGAAACATTTGGGAAACAATTGTGAAACAAAAGGAATTGATTGGCATTTTATCTTTTTCGAGTATTTTGCCCTTAACTCTCAAACATGATCTTTGATTGAGGTGTTTCTTGAACCATTGGAAAGTATGAAATTCTCTACGCCTTGGAGTATGTTTGAGCCCATTATGGAGAAAGGATAAGTTACACTGTTAGAGGGAGGAGATAGACGATATGCTAAGATGACCTACCACCTTCAATACATGTGTGTGTGTGTGCATATGTAATTTGATTTGCTCGAAATACCATGATAAATAATGTAGTAAATAAGAAAATGAATGAGAAAATATGACTATATCATGCTATTAGACATTTATTTAGTGGAATGACTATAGCATTTATGTAATATCTTATAATAGTGCATAAACTTTTGATACTTCAAATTGAATAATGTAAAGTGGATATTGTTTTAATTATAATTAATTCAATTTTGATTATATTTAATACTCACACAATAATTCAATTGAGATTATATAATTGATATTATTAATTAAGTATTCTATTATAAGTTATAATAATGATAATTTTGTTAATAATAATATATGATCACTTAATTACTTATATGAGTGGAGCACATTCATATAAGTAATTATATTAATATTAGTTACAAACCTACAATTGTATCGCTAATATTGTTAATAATATTTATTTATAAAATATATGTCTATGATAATAAGTTTGACTTAAAGACTTCTATCAATAGAGAAACTAATTATAATCATATTAATTGTTAATCATGAATAAAATTATTGATTAATATAAAATTATAATGGTTACAATGATTTAGGGGAAATTCACATATAAAATTATAACTGTCACATTAATTTTTTTTTTTTTAAATTTGTTTTTTTTGGTGTATAATGTTGGACATACCAATTTTATGCTCAATCTGATAGAAAAAGAGATAAAATTAAAATGCACTTTCCTTGATTGTAAAATATGAAATACATTGGACTATTATTTAAATATAAAAAATAAAAAATAAAACAGGATTCATTGTTTGGGTATAACCTAACCTAGACTTTGTCATTCTACATTCTTGAGAAAGCCTATTTCTTACTCAAGTGATGCAGATAAGGACTAGATCTAGAATAAGTGTTGAACCTGCACAATTCAATTTAATACTTCGGCATTCTTCTAAAAAGTCAGGAATAACTTTTGAAATGACCCTCAGTCTCCATCTTTGACCTTTAGTTGCACTTTTGACATTCATCTACCCTTGACAAGACCCTTTGGTGAATTTACACCCTTTTACGAGGTTCTCTAGTGAATCCAATCCTCATTCCATTATGTTCTGGTGAATACTTTCTCTTGTCACAAATTCTTTGTTATTGCCCAATATACTCATTTTCTCACGCTCCAGTGCATAGAAAATACATAAATTTCCCTTTTTACTCATCTCAAAACATGTTGTTGACAAAAATTACTCTTTGCTGTCCTTTTCATGAGGTCCGGAGAACTGTGATTGCATTTCGGATAGAAACAACTTTATACTTGCAGGAGGGGCAAAGTGGAAATATAAGCCCAAGTCACTCCTGATGGAAATAGTATATCCTTCTCGAATGTTATGCTGGATAAGGAATATACAACGCATGTTCAATACGGGATGACAAGACCACGTGTCATTACAAAAAGTGGACACGAAGACCAATATGCACACTATACGGCAACTACTGGACACGATCGTAATTGTTAATCATAGGTGTTCAATGGTTATAAATAGATCACAAACAAAGCAAATGAGACAGACAGATGCACACAAGAGTGCATGAGATGCATGGTAGTAAAGTAAACGAAAGACCCCTTTGGCATACAAAGGAGGTATCCTGTGTTATATTCATCTATAGTCGATTAAACAAAGGTTTTTCGCTTCTCCATTGTATGAGACAGTGAATGTCGTTAACAATGTGTTCACAGGTGCCTTGGAATTGCTTGACCCAAAAAAAAAAAAACGCTCAACACGGATATGCTTTGTTAGAGTGATTGTTTGAAGTTCCCTTGGGTTGTTTTGTGTTTATTATCGTATAAAGTGTAAGATTGCTGCAAACATTAATATGCAAATTTCCCATAATTTTATTAGTTAATGAAATTAAAACATCTACTTTAATAATTACAATTGATTGAATACTATTGTAGCATAATTTTAATAATTAATTAATAATATTATAGAATTGTCACAATTCAAATGAATGAAAATGAAAACTAATAATGTTACAATAAGCTATAATTAATAATATTATATAATATAATAATAAGCAGTATAAAAAATAATAATATTGTAATAAATAGTCTATTCTTATTAATATTTGTATTCTAGTTGATTTATTATATATCAATAGTATTAGAACAATTTTTTAATATGGTATACATTATGTTTACTACAATAATTGTACTATTTTTATAAATATATAATTATGGTAATATGTGTAATGATAAGTGGATAAATGAGGGGGGGTTAGAGAGATAGAGTATAGGAGAGATAATGATTAAAGATAAAAATAAAAATAGCTAGAAAACTGGCAGAAATGAAATAAATTAAAAATCAATAAGATAAAATCGATATTGGAAAGGACATTTTCTGCAAAAATGAAAGGGGTCCCCTTCTTGCTTAATATGTAATCAAGTATGATAATATGTGTTATTATTGATGAACAATACTATGTAATTGTTATAATTTTCTACTAACTAGAATTTTTTATTATAATGCTAATTTGACTTTTTACTATACATTACATTTGTTATAATAATTGATTGATTTTGTTAACTATTTCCTCAGAAAAAAAAAAGTCGATTGCTTTTTTTGTAAATGGGAGAGGGTTAGAGATAGAGTTGGTGTCTATGAGAATAGTGACTAAAGATAAATATAAAATTAGATAAAAATACAAAATTGAAGTAAATTAAAAATCAATAGGACAAAATAGGATTGAAAAGGACACCTGTCGCAAGAATAAATGATGTCCTCTTCTCGCAAGAATGTATATGCATATGCATTTGTTTATGTATATGTATGTATATGGGGTGGGGTGGGGTGGAGAGAGAGAGAGAGAGAGAGAGAGAGAGAGAGAGAGAGAGAGATGGTAATCATAGTTCTAGAGAAAGACTGAAAGCACAATATGTTAAGACCTAATGCTTTTACACTCCATCTTGTTTAACTTATATACTCTTGTTCAATTTATACATGGAAAAGATTATTTTGTGTCCCTGTATGTATGAGTCCAGATATGGTTTTCATGGATTTAAGATTTAAACCACATTTGAAGTCACTCTAAATGCACTTCCGCTTTAGATCGATGATTCAATGGCTTGAAAATAAAATAGTGCAGATCTGATGATCTGTAATTGACTAAAATGAATGGTCTAGAAAAGAAGTTTGAGATAGACTATTTTAAGGTTCGAAGTCCTTTTATTTATTTAGATTCATGATCATAGCGGTCGAGATTATCAACTTGTGAAACTTTGGATTCAAAATCCATCTCTAAGATGGATTTTGGAAGAGCATTTGAATCTTAGGCTGCCACACCAAAACCCTACTGTTTTTGTACTCTGTCCAAACAATTATAATCTGCCTGTTTATGCTCTCACCCTCTCACCCCTGTACTCTGAGCACCCGTTTTTTGGGCTGCCATTTTTACCACACTTTGTGGTCTTGTGCATTTTCTTTCTGTTTAACAAGTTAACCAGTTTAAAGAGAAAAAAAATTCTAATCTGCTCCAGGAATCTGTCTGGAAAAGGTCCCCTACATGTTCTTTCCACTTCTCTATTTGTTTCTTATATGCTCTCAGAATGCTTCCTAAGAGTTTTCCCCACATGTTCCTCAATGCGTTTCTCTAATGCTTTGTAATCATTTACCCGTTTCTTGTTTCTCCTAACCTTTTTGAGTTCTGTTTATTGCCTCCATATTTCGCTTCGCTTCTCACTCTGATTTCTCATCATTGTAACCAGGATTTCACCCTCTTGTAGACTTATCAAACAGTTAAGTTTTCCACCTTGTTCTGGAAGCTCAGTTCAAATTTTTGCTTTGGGACAAATGCAAACATGAAAGAACCACATCAATATAAAAATAGAGCTGGCATTCAATATCTGTGGGGATTTATGCATCTGGCTTATGGTTAAGGTATTGAAAACTGCAACAAAAGACAACAGTCTCGAACCCCACAGATGACCTACAAAAGCCGAGCTCCAACTTTTTACTTACAAATGCCTTAGGGGAAAGATGGATCACGGATATTGGTGATTTCTTGTGATGTGGTGGTGTTTGAAGACCTTGTCAATGAAAGGATCTGAAGGTGGCATGGGACATATAGTAGTCCTAATCAAATATTATTAACTAGAAGCTATTGGTGAGCAATTTAAAACAAGGACCAGACTGGGGGGTCAAGCACAAAAAACGATATTCAGTAGTTCTTAGAGTTGGAAATGTGGAAAGGGACTCCAAAATGGTTCACTTTCCTGTCTGACCCTGATGATTTCTTTCTAGGAAAACATAGGCAATTTTATAAGGTTATGGTCTTTTTCTGTGTTCTAGTGGTGCCCAATCATTAACTGATATTGGATTATTGATTTGATGTTGCTTATGATGCAATCCAGATTAACCAGTTTGGTAGTCGACTCTGTTGGTAGTTGCAATGCAGATTAACCAGAATTGATTTTCTTTCTCTCGTGTCTCTTGATGGACTTAAGGAGGCTGAATAGTTAGGACCAGTGGTTTAAAAAAAGGATCGGTGCCCCGGATCGGGCACCCCAAAAACCCATCCGGATCGGTGAATGGGCGATCCGGATCGGGGGTTGGCTGAATCGGTCGGATTAAGCCTTAAAAAAAATCCAAAAAAATTATTAAAATTCATTATAAATGTTTTTTTTAAGAATTAAATAAGAAATGGGGGTACTACATTATTAACTATCATGTTATTTCATCAATATGCGAATATTGAGATGTTCGTTCCCTGTCGTCAAATATTTATTAAAATTTAACTAGAGACAATATTATATATTGGAATTAGAATTATTGGTATGTGTTTTATTATTTTATCATCATTTTACCATACAAATAAAAATAAATTTTAAATTTTCCTTATAATACCATCTAATTTAAAAATCTAAAAATTTAACAATAAATTAGGAGAATCGGACAAATCAGAAAATTGTCTCAAAATATTTTTTAAAAAATAATTATGAATATTTAAAAATAGTGTTCTTTTAGTTTCTAAAAGACATTAGAAGTGATGCATTATGTATTCTCATTACTTTGTAAAAATAGATGAACATTGTGACACTGTTTTCCTGTCTGGATGCCTGTATAATTATTAATTATAATATTATAATAAACATGATTTCAAAATTATTAGAAAACAATTCCATTTCTTTTCTTTTTTTTGGGTAAGTAATTCCATTTCGTAGGATTAAAAAAAAAACAGAACCCCTTATAAACATTAATATGATGATATTAAAACAAAAAAAAATTACCCTAAAAAAATAGAAAAAATAAAGATAATACAGTTAAGAAAATAAAAAAGTGGCTTGTTCATTGCTTGACATTGCCACAATCCAATCATGTTTATTTATGTGACAAAAAAAAAAAATTGTATCAATTAGAAGTACTAGCTAGAGAAAAAATGGCATTAGTCTTCCATTGCACATGAAAAGCAAGTAGGGATAGTCCCACATCCGACGATTAATTCCCTAAATAGCCATATAAAACTTGATCTGTTAGCCCATAGATAAAGTGTTGTGCTCATTATGGTGGTGGCTTGTAGGTACTAGGTACTAGGTACTTGTGGTAGACATGTAAGAAATTCATATTAAAATAATGTAGACATTGGCTCATTACGGTGGTGGTTTGTAGGTACTAGGTACTTGTGGTAGACGTGTAAGAAATTTATATTAAAATAATGTAAATGGTGGCTGCAGGTATGTATTAGAAAAGGAAAATTTTACATTAAAATAATATAAAAAATCCGGTTCTTCTGAATCCCGATATATTACTAGATCCGGATCGCTTTGGATGATATCCGATCTGGATCTGGTGATTTCGATCCAGATCGGCGATTTTTCAAACACTGGTTAGGACTAAACAAATGCATGTTTATGCAAATAACCCTCAACCAAATAAAAAATAAAAAATGCCTAAACTACCCTTCCTTACTTTTACTTTACCCACACCTCTCTCTCCTCTATCCCACAAAAATATGGGCTCCGGCACTGTGTAAGTGCGTTCCAGCAGTAGGGCTCCGGCATTATGTAAAGTGTGGTCCGACAGTAGGGCTCCGGCATTGTGTAAAGTGTGGTCCGACAGTAGGGCTCCAACACTGTGTAAAGTGCGGTCTGGCAGTAGGTCTCTGACACTGTGTAAGTGCGGTCTGGCAGTTGCAAAGGGCGGTCCGGTAGTTTCAAAGGGCGGTGTGGCAGTAGATGTTACTGGATTCCAGGGCTCTGACACTATGTAAAGGGTGGTTCGGCAGTACTTAGTTTCGGTCTAGTAGTTGTCTTATGGCGGTTTGGCACTTGTGCGCTTTGGCAATGTGCTACTGGGGTCCAAAAGTTAACGTCTAATCTGGCTAAAATGATTTTTTGTACCGGGAAGGGCATTTCCGTCTAAAAAAAATGAACATTTTCCTTTGGGGGGGCATTTGCATAGAAAGTTTGTTTTGGGAAAAAAAGCGAGAGAAAAAGTTAGGTTGGGGGTAAGTTGAATAAAAAGTGTGATCTTGGTTGTTTTTTGTAATTTTTCCAAAAAAAATAGGATACATGTCTAGGACAAATTTTTCCTTCCAAATAGAAATGTGAAGGACAAGCCTAGGATTTCTGTATTTGATCTAAAATGTGCTATACTTCAAGCCTACTTAGTTCTGCATGTCCTCTGGAATTTTGAAACCACTTGAAGCCGACTTAATATATCCATTAGTTGCAAAGCCATCCATAATGCTTAACTTTCTGACTTAGTATCAAAATAAAATTTGAGGTACACACGGTGATGTTAGTAAGTAGTAGGAACAGAAAAAGTTAGTCATTAGAAGTAATTACAGGGCCACTGATAGGAACAGAACACGTTACAATGTCCCTATGTTATAATACTGGACTGTCATTCATAGATTGCTCTTCAGTTTATCTAATTAGTCCAAAGCAAATTCTGTTTATGTGATAAGCATTGAGCAGTTCAATTCATTTTCTAGATAATTGACATCTGGTCCGTTACAACATTTGTGAATTTCGATGTGATACTTTTTCTGAGTCATTTGGATCCAAATTTTGCAGTTTGCCTTGCATTACTCATGGCAGACTGAGGCACGTGCCCGAAGAGCCTTGGAAAATGTAGCTTCCTTACTTCGTCCCGGAGGCATTTTTATTGGAACAATGCCAGATGCCAATGTTCTCATCCAAAAGCTTCGCAATGGTACAATTTATTACTGTGTTTGTCAGTCCTTTTCTTTATTTAAACTCTTATTTTTGGGAGCAATTATGAAAAAAGTTCTGAATTTGGATTGGAATTATACAGTAATTCCAAAAAGAATTTTTTTTCCAAGTTTTTTTTACCTCATGTATATACATTTCTGTCATTATATAATTTCCTTGGCTTGTGCGCTAGTCCAACTCTTTGAATATTTGGGATACACATTGCTTTAATAAGTAGAAAAGTCTAATAAAATAATGGAGCTCTCTCACATTTAGTGGACAATTACTACTAGAGGGCTGTGTTATGAAGATTCTCATACGAGGAATTCGTTTTATTATCCATGTAGGCACATTGATGCGACACGTGTCTAATTACATTACTCCTTTATTGTTTCATGTTGGGGATCATCATGTCATTTGATGTACCTGATGGGTATTTATTTCAATTAAGTTATGATCTCTAATTTCTAAATTTGTGTGACGAAAACATGCATGCATTTTCTCTAATGGATTGGGACAAGCTTACACTTCGGAATTTCCATCAGATCTGTTTCATTGATTTGAAACGCCAATGGTTTTCTATATTATTTTTTTTTGGTTTTAACCATTAACCGGTCTCCTTGCTTGTTGCTTGGCCAAGAAGGCCTCCATCAGATCTGTTTCATTGATTTGAAATGCCTATGGTTTTCTATATTTTTTTCTGGTTTCAACCATTATGCAGTCTCCTTGCTTGTTCTGAACTTAATTATGTGTTTTATTTAGATGGTATATTGATTGGTTCAACTTATGAATTCCCTTTTTGTCATGCTTTCCCAGTTGAAGGGCTAACATTTGGCAACAGTGTGTATTCTATTTCTTTTAATGAGGCACACAGTCAAAAGGTGAAGATTCTAATTTGCACATCCTACTGTTTGAGATCCTTGGTTCTCTGTCTCATTGCCTGTAATGACTTCTTTATATCAATTTGCCAACATAAATGCTGACGTCATCTTTTTCTTCTTTGCTGACTACAGAAATTCGATTCTTCAAAGCCCTTTGGCATCCAATACACGTTTCACCTAGAGGTAATTTAGTGCAATGCGTCATTATGATATGTTGAATTTTTATTATTTACTTCTCATAGATCAGAAAATGTGTGCATCCAGTTGCATAACAGTGCGGAAAAGTGATATACACAAATGTCATCAGAAAATGAGATAAAGTGCCCTCTCTCTCTCTTACTCCAAAAATTTTATGCTCTCTCTCACTTGTCCAAAAAAATTGCTCTCTCTCTCTCTATCTCTCTCTATTTCTCTCTCTCATACAGATCTCAGACATACACAGGCTTGGACGCACACACGTACTCACACACTTCTATGTGAACTAAGAAATTGAGATATCTTGTGTTTGAAATATTCTTGGATTAACCACAAACTTCTATGATGTCTTAGTCATTTATTTTTAAAAAGTGGTTAACTATGATATTTTATACATGCACATGTGGATGCTCATTTGTATTCACAGTTTTCCACTAGTATATGAATTAGGAACTTGTTATACTTTTTGTTTGAATATCTTGGATTAACTAATGGGAATATATTTAGAAAGGCCCTAGCCGTAGGCGGCCGACCAGTCGTGGTGCATGGAAAGCCTGCAGATTCGCAGATTCGTCATCTCTACCTCGATGAACATGGATCTGAAAATAATTTTTTTGAAAAAAATTGATTTCAAGCCCTAAAAGGGGTTCATCTTGCTATACATTTTCTGGACAATCAATTGCAAGTCTTCATAGATTCACCAGATCTGCACAATTTGGAGCTCCAAGTTCTATAGCTGGGCAAAAATGGATTTTCAGGCTATTAGCCTATTTTCCAGTGTGGCAACTGGTCTTTCCAGCGATTTGGGCTCGGCCTTACAGAAGATTCACCCTTGACTAATTCTCATTAAAGTTGTGTCCTTAACTGATTCTCATTGAAGTACCTTGGATTAACAAAGAGCTTTTATGATCTTCAGGTGATTTCCCTGTGCTTAGAAATTGTGCTTAATAGTGCAAAAATGAGGTAAAAGTGATCATGACGACAACCTCAAGAGATAAGCTAGTACCAACATGTGGGTTTAGATTGACATGTGAGTGGAATATAACCCCAGAACTGGGCTGGCAAGTTCAATAGGCAAGGGGCTGTTAAGGGGGAGGTTCCTCCCACAGGGTCTCATCCATTGGACCTCGATACCGTAGATGAGTTCTTTGCCGGTTCTGCTAATCCACAAGCCCATGTCATGAACAATTGAAATGAAGGATTACTTGAAAGGGTGTGGTTGTGCTGTTAATATACAATGCATTGTGGACATCTGTTACACCTAATACCATATTAGAGAATTGCTTGTGATGTTGAGGAATGATGCTAAAGAATTCTTTAAATGAAAAAAAATGGAAAGTTTATTATATTCCAATGGACTTTGGAAAACTATAGTCCACTAGAGTCATCATCAGCCAATGAAATGACTGACAGTGATGGAGAGAGCAGTACCCACCATTAGGGTCAGGTCCTCTCTGGTGGTACCCTCTCTCTTCATCACTGTTCATTTCAATGGACGGCGATGATCTAGTGGACTAGATTTTTCCAGAAACTGTTGGACTAGCCTAACAATGTATTTTATGCATGTGTTTAGAGAACCATATGATTTTATTGATTATTTCTAAGGATGTAATGGATTTGTAGATGGATTCTATTGGCTTGTTAAAGAAAATGAAATGGAATTTAGTCAGAATTTACTTGAGGTAATTGAGAAATCTCAAAACTTAAAAGGATAGAGGGGCTTCTCACAGAAATTGAGGTAAAAGTAAAGTTTCACTAGGATTCCATAATGCGTTTGGTTCTGTAGCCAAGCATCTATAATGTATTTGTTATGCTCTGGAATTTTAGGACAGAAACAGTTCGCTTGATGGTTCAAACTACCAGTTTAAGTGGAATGTTTTAGCATTGATTTCCAGATGAAGCATGTTGCCACCTGAAATGCTTCATATTCTGTGAAATTCAGCTTTATTTGATGTATCATTAGGGGTGTTTGGAAACCGGTTTACCTAATACAAAAGGTAATTCTATTAGAAATAAAGGCCAGTCAAGTTTAAATGGATGTAAATGAGTCAAGTCATATCAAGTTGCATGTTGGATTACTTGAAAACCAAACTGCAGTGGATGTTCTCTGTTACTGCACTATTTTATGTACATTGTGGTTTTGCCATCATTAATGTTTACTAGCCAAATCTACTTTGCATATGAGTTAATATCTGCATATTGGTTGAATTTTTGGATCTAATAGAGGATCACATTTGAGTTGGGACAGAGATTTATCATTTGCTAATCGAGAGTACATTTCATTGCAGGATGCAGTTGATTGCCCAGAATGTATTGTTCCCTTCCGCATTTTCAAATCATTAGCAGATGAGGTGCATCAAATTACTTTATTATGTTAATCTGCTCCCCTTTCTTTCTGTTCTTTAAATTTTGTCTTTATTTCTTATATATGTTTTATCTGTATTGACATGTGTCATTAGGTCACCTTTAATATTATCCACCAAAAGGATGCTCCTTGGGGAGATCTGTTAGGTCTCTGGTAGTAAATTTTTGTCTATCCTGAACTGTATTAGTGCCCTCTAGTTAAGAAAGTCCTTGCTTAAATTTTGACGACTTACAAGAGTATCTATATCACCCCTAATTATGTCCAATGGGCGAAACCAGATCAAATTTGAGGAATTTTGTATTGTTGTTCGGTTCTTTTTATGGCACGTTGCTTTTTCTTGCACGTGATTTTTTAAAAATTTCTGTTAAATTTACCCGCAGATTTTTTTGCTCATTTGCATATTTTGCCATCATTCTTTTGAATCATCTGAGAATATCATCTAAGCTTTATATGTCATCAGCAACTATATAATGAAGAAGTTTATATAAGGTGTCAATCTTATACTATAAAAGTATGGCCCACCTCAAGAACACACCAGAAAAATTTGTTTCAATGCTGGAAAATCCTCCAATTGATCATTTCCATCTTGGAATGTATGGATGTGAAAAAAACAGGATTTGAGGTCTTAAAAAAGTGCTTCTTGGAACACATTATTTGGTCCGTTTATTTTCAAGTCTTTTAAGTGTTTATAGATTTGCTCTGTATGCCCCATTTTTGGAGCTTTAAATTTCATAATTATGTTTGGAAGTAGATTTTCCGGCAGGGTTTGGAGGTTCATGTAACCTTTGTCTGTTTAAGGTTGATGCCTTCTCTAAACCAAAACCATTATATAATCACCATTGTAATATCCATTCCGATACTTTGTTATCACTAATCGTCTTTTATATTTTTTATTTATCCTTTACGCTAGCATATTTGAGATTCAGCTTCCGTCTTCTCAATTTGGCAGATAAACTTGTTGAATAGAAGATTTTTCTTAAAGAAACAACATTTTGTTTTTCCTTGCCAACAACCTTGCTATGCATAATTTTGCATATAGTGTGTCCCTAGCTCTCTCTTGAAGTCGTGTCTTTTGTGACATCTGATGAGAATTGTTTGTGGTGTCCAATGCAGTATGGTTTAGAGCTTCTTCTAGTGAAGAATTCCCATGAATTTGTGGATGAATACTTGAAGAAGCTGGAATTTGTTGACTTGATGCGCAGATTGGGGGCCTTGGGTGATGGAAAAAATAATCACAGTAAGTCAATAATATGTATTTTTTTGGCGATTACCTTTATTCAGGGTAACATAAGGAATATCTAAAAGAAAATACGAAAAGTTACCAAAGTAAGAAAAACTGTGTACTGAATTCAGGGGAATAAAAGGAATTTCTAAAAGAAAATACAAAAAGTTACCTAAGTAAGAAAAAATAAAAAGATTTCTTTTTTTGAGGGAATCATCAGGGGACTATGAGTAATATCTAAAATAAAAAGGACAAAATCTGACGTTTAAGTTTGTTTGGTTTTATTTTCAAATGTGTTCTACTTAGATTTTGGAGAAAGCGATAACTTATTTTATTCTTTATTTATATTTAAACTGAAGCTCTCCCTTTAAAAAACTACAGAAAACACCATGATATAAAAGGACTTTATCTCCCAACATTGTTAAGGGAATTTCTAGACATCCCCCTTGTTGCTAATTGCACCTTATATGTCACATCATTGCTTGGTTTTCAAGTAACTTGAACATAAAGATGGTTCTATTTACTGCATCTATCCTTTTCACAAAATCTTATTTTCATGGCACATTATAAGATTGAAGAAAATGGAGATTATTACAACCATGCTATCTTATTTGGAGTTAATGTTGCTATGTTTACGGGTAATAATGAAACAAAGTATCTTCTACTGTAGTTTTCACAATCATCTATTATATTTCTGGGCCATTTTTATGCAGGCACGATATCAGAGGACGAATGGGAGGTAGCTTACCTATACCTGGTATTTGTTTTTAAAAAGGTAATTCACGAACCTGCCCAGATCATGAAAAACTAAACTGTTTTTTAATGTGTATGAGCTTAGTTAATACTAAAAGAAAATATTCTTGGTGTCGGTTATGATAAAGATGAACTCCCCCCCCTTCCTTTTTCTCTCTGCTCACACGTTTCAGCACATGTATGGATGTATGAGAAAGATGTCTATTAGTTTAGTTTGAGCACATGTATGGATGTATGAGAAAGACGTCTATTAGTTTAGTAAAGAGAGATTCATCTAGAGAGAGAGAGAGAGAGAGAGAGAGAGAGAGAGAGAGGTTAGGAGAGCGTAGTGTGTGTAGTAGAGTATAGTTAGTAGTTTAGTTAGACGGAAGTACGTTTCGTTTTGTTTAGTTAGTATAGTGGAGGG